ACATATATACGATGGAATATTACTCAGCCATAAAAAGGACTGAAATAATGCCATTTGCAGTGACATGGATTGACCTAGAGATTGTCATACAGAGTGAAGTAAGTCAGAAAGAGAAAGATAAATATCGCATAATGTGGCTTATATGTGGAATCTAAGAAAATGGTACAGATGAAATTATTTGCAAAGCAGAAATAGAGTCACAGATGTAGATATCAAACTTATGGTTACCAAGGGGAGTGAGGGGAGTGGGATGAATTGTGAGATTGGGATTGACATACACTACTATATATAAAATGGACAACCTACTGTAATGATAGCCTACTGTATAGCACAGGGAACTCTACTCAGTGCTCTGTGGTGACCTAAATGGGAAGGGAATCTGAAAAAGAGTGGATATATGTTTATGTATAACTGATTCACTTTGCTGTACAGCAGAAACTAACACAACATTGTAAAGCAGCTATACTCCAATGAATTTTTGTTAATTAATATAATCATTATCACCAATAATTAACACCCATTTATTGATCACAAAATACATGTGTTGACATCTAGCAAACTGATATAGAAAACCCTTGTAAAAACAAAAGTATATGCATGGTGTAAATTCTTTTTACTAACATGAAATTTTTGTTTACTGGAATACTATATCAATAATCTATAATGGGGAGAGTCCTATATTATTTTACTAGTGGCAGGGCTAAGAAATATTTTTATTTAACAAAATATGGAAAACTTTCAAGAACAGTTTCATTTATTCAGCAATAGATAAGTAGACCTCATTTTTGGTCCTGAGGATATAATTTAATCCTGAAGACATGAACTTTGTCCTGAAGATTCAGACTAAAATCTTTCCTCTCTGTGCTGAGTCTAGGGGCAGAGTATCAGGTTGGAACTCAGGAAGCCTAATTTCCAGAACTAGTTCTCCGTTTAAACATTTTTGACCTTTAGCAAGTCACATCACATGACTGCATTTTCTTATGTATAAAATGAGAGTGCAGCTGATTCACAAAACTTTATTCTTTCAATTATTTATTAATTCACCATCCAGAAATCATTATGCTACGCACTGAGGAGACAATAGTGAGTACAGCACTTCTCTTCAGTAGTCTACAACAGATTTGGGAATTTACCTGTGGTAAAATGCCCCGCATTTCTTAGGGACATTACCAACCATCATTTTAATTTAATCTAACCTAATTTTAAAGTACCTTATTCTTTCCTCCTCTATTTTTTTGTATACTCTAACAGTACTTGAACTTATTTTTAAATGAGGTTTAATTATAAACTGAAGAATTGTAAATGGATATTAAATGATATATTGTTGAGATAAGTGAAATTTCAATTATTCAAACAGTCTAGTTAAGACTATTTAAGTCTACATTAAGAACTACTTAAGCAAGGTAAAAGAGCTTGAGTTTCCTGATTTGTTAAAAATGGAAGAAAATAGTTTCCACTAGGCTTACCTCCTGGGGATATTGTGGAGATTAGTACAGTCTATGTATGAGAATACAACTTGTATAATATAAATACTCAGACGTAAAGTATCCTTCTGAAACCTGGTCCTTTGAGCAAGTTCTCTAAAAGAACTCAACTCTAAAAACTTTTGTCCAGGATTCAAGTCCAAGTTCTGCTACATATTAATTTTGTGAGTTTGAGATTCAATTTCATTTTTATGTAAAACAAGAAAAAATCACATAGATACTGTGAGAATTAAATAATATTCATGTGAGAGTTATTTAGAAACTGTGACTCACTGTAAAATGTAGGTCAATATTATGTTTAAAAAGATAAATGGCCAGTTTTATACCTCTTTACTTTTCTACCACATGATGCTTTCTTATCTTCACAGTACTGGCATATATATTTACAGTAAAGTGCCTAAAGTAACGGGTACCATTTACTGAGAACAGTTCTATGTGCCAGGCACTTTTTGAAGTACCTAACAAGTATTGCCTCATTTAATCCCTATACAGCCACATAGTATATGCATTATTATTATTTTCATTTCAGCTTATAGGGATTGTAACCTCTCTGAGGCTCAGATAGGCTATATTCCCCAAGGTATGTGCCAGAGTCAGCATTTGAACTTGGCACACTGAATAAGAGTCTCTGTTCCCATTCATTACATTAAATTGTCTAAGAGTAACATAAAAGAATGCCATTTGTTTATCCATTCATCAACCCATTCTATATTTCTCTGAATATGTATTTTCCAATTCTCTCAAAGTTTAAATATAATCTAATTCCATAAATAAAAAATCATTTTTAACTAAACAAAAGGATTTTATGAATTTTTATATGTAAAAATAAACAAGAATCACTGAGAAAATTCTGGGAAAAAAAGAGTAAATAGAGGTGAAGAGTTGCCCTATCAGATATTAAAGTACATATAAAGCTTCATTAATTTAACCAGTATGGTGATAATGCATGAACTGCCAGATAAAACAGAGTAGAAAGGAGACTGAGCCTCAAACACATTGGAGAACTTAGAATATGATAATTGTATCATTTTAAGTTAGTGTTGAAAAAGATGGGTTACTCAATAAATGGAGGTAGATATAACAGGAAAACATCTAGAAAATAATACTGGAGTCTCATTCCACAACTTACATAAATAAACTTCAGCTACATTTAAATTTTACACAACAAACATATTATGAAACCACTAGAAGAGTTTGATTTAATCTAATCTATCCATATAAAGAGTGATTTTATAAAATTGACAATAATTGATACTATTCTCACAAGAGCATGTTCTGAAGTATTGAAAATTGTAAGATAGTGGTCCAGGTTCATTCTTTTATATGTTGCTGTCCAGTTTTCTCAACACCATTTATTGAAGAGACTGTCCTTTCCCCATTGTATATTCTTGGCTCCTTTGTTGTAAATTTCTTGAGCATATATGTGTGGGTTCTTTTCTGGGTTCTATTCTGTTCCATTGATAAATGCGTTTGTTTTTATGCCAATACCATACTGTTTTAATTACTATAGCTCTGTAATATAGTTTGAAATCAGGAAGCATGCTGCCTTCAGCTTGGTTTTTCTTTCTCAAGATTGGTTTGGCTATTCAGTGTTTGTATGTGGTTCCATACAAATTTTATAATTATTTGTTCTATTTCTGTGAAAAATGCTATTAGAATTTTGATAGGAATTGCATTGAATCTATAGATTGCTTTAGGTACTATGAGCATCTTAACAATATTAATTCTTCCAATCCATGAACACAAAACATCTTTCCATTTATTTGTGTCTTCTTCAATTTCTTTCATCACTGTCTCATTGTTTTCAGTGTATGGGTGTTTCACCTCCTTGGTTAAGCTTATTCCTAGATATTTTATTCTTTTTGATGCAATTGTAAGTGTTATTGTTTTCTTAATTTCTCTTTCTGAAAGTTTGCTATTAGTGTATAGAAATGCAACAAATTTCTCTATGTTGATGGTAGCACTTGTTATTGATTTCATATGCTAAACTTAATTTTCCTTTGAGAAATCCACATTGTGTAAACTTGGTTGCAATCTTCCCTGCACCTGTAATTGCAGCATGAGAAATATTAATGGGTAATCCATAGAGGAATCTTTTCAAGTGATTGCCACACACTAAAGGGCTGCAGATATTTCCTCCTAAAGTGCTATCTTTTCTTATATTTTTTGAAAGAAATAAACACTTCCACTTCTCAAGTACTGTAGCAAACTAGAAAGGAATACACAGAAACTTTTCTAGGCTTTTCAAAATAATTCCTATCCACTGCCACTTAGGAAGAAGATTTAATCAAAGCAAGTGACATTTGCGATCAATGCAAAGCTTAGAGGTAGGCGGTACACCCGATTGCAAGTTGTATCCCCGGTGGGGCAGAAGTTAGAGAGAGGGAACGAACAGCTATTAGTTTTCTTTACACTTCACTGCTTCAATTAGAAGTATTTCATGATAATATTATTCATATCTGTTATAAATTTTAGGTGTTTTTTGACTTTGTTTTGATTTTAGTTATTTTCCTTTAAGACAATGGGGTTTTGAAATACCCAGTTGGATAAATTTTCATTATATCCTGATTAATTAAACTATTTATTTAATTTCAGCAGTATGAAAGGCAGGTGTGTTCTAATGGTGTTCTTTGATTTATCAGCCAAAATACAAACTTTTCTCAAAATATCTTAATGAAAAATACTTGGTAAAAAATTAGGAACTTCTATATAAAAGTGCTTACAATATTTATTTTTCTTTGTTGGGGAAATATTGTGTTATACATGACAGATACTTAAAAAGATAAGTTCATGGTTTTTGACTTTAATTTCCCTAGAAAATCTACTACTAAAATGTTGGTTTTATACCTGGATGATAATATACATTTTTTTAAACACATTTATTTATTTATTTATTTTTGGCTGTGTTGAGTCTTCATTGCCACGTGCAGGCTTTCTATAGTTGCGGCGAGTGAGGGCTACTCTTTATTGTGGTGTGCGGGCTTCTCATTGCGGTGGCTTCTCTTGTTGTGGAGCACAGGCTCAAGGCGCATGGGCTTCAGTAGCTGTGGCACACGGGCTCAGTAGCTGTGGCTCGCCGGCTCTAGAGCACAGACTCAGTAGTTGTGGCACACAGGCTTAGTTGCTCCGCGGCATGTGGGATAAATGAAACTTCTGAAAGACTATATAGTACATAGAGGCATTCTGTTCAATAAAGGACAAAGATAGCTAGAGCTGCAGAAATACAATCCACTGGGACTCCTACAGTGAAATTTCAGAAGTTTCACGTGGTGTAATTAAGAATGCTCTGCAAAAGGTAATAAAAAGTCTTTCTGTAAGGAAGTAACAATATCCCAGACTGATATTGTACATGGCCAGTGGCTTATAGAAGATAAAAGGAAAGTAAAATTAAAATTGATTAAAAAAAACAGGAAAAAAGTAGGAGTCAAGCATCAAATCATATTATATTAAAATGCCATAACTAGGTTTTTTCCCTTCTCTTCACACAAATGCTGGATAAATTATATGAAACAGTACCTTCCTTTTAGCCTTTAGCTGCTCATGATACTTGTCACAGGTGTCCCCTGGGATCTCTCCTCCCCAGAGAGTGATTCCAACAATGGTGTATGTGATACCCATGATGAGCAATGGGAAACAGTAAACCAGTATAATAACAATAATATGGTAACTGTAAGAAATAAGAAAAATATATGCTGAAGAGCGTACTGAAATGAAATAGTAAGACTTTGAATTCATTCCATTTTAAGTCATAATTGAACATGCCAAAGATTATTCCCACATTTTCTCTAAGTCCTCATTTCAGAAACCCATCACAGTACTATGCTATTGTCACTTACAATCATCCAGATGCTACCAGTTGATCTTTGTCAATCTTTACTTCGTGTATGAAAACTATAGCTGAACTGTAGTGCTCATTTAAACTACACGCGTTCTCCCTTGCATAGAAGCTCAGGATGAATGCCTTTTCTCTGCTTGGTAGTCATTGAGCTAACCTAATTAAATGTATAATCGGAGGAAAAGAGATGGGACATATTAAACTGATGAATTGACATATTTTCTCCTATGTAAAACTATTACATATATCCTACAACATCAGTCATATTTGAAATAAATCATTCTTCAACCAAATGAAGAAAATGTGACTAGATGCTCTGAGTCACACTGGCATTTTTCCAAAGTCATGGTACATTTGATTGCATCATTAAATTTGGTAAATAATATACAGGTGTGTTAGTCACATCAAAATTATTATACTATAAATTATAACTAAATTTTGGGATTTCATAGCTTTCAATAAAAATTATCAGGATGCAATTAGGGAGGACTAGAAGGGCAACCAATAACATAATAGCCAAATTAGAATTTGTATAAACTTTTGGGTGGCTTCTACTATCTTATGAAGGCTTTAAGTTAATTAAAGAGCTTGGCATGCTAGTCTTCTCAATCCCAGTTTTTTTTTGTTTTTTTTTTTTTGGTAAAGGGAATCTTAAATCTTCTTGATTTCTGTACCCTGATAGCTTATTAAGTATTAACTAAGTCAATGGGGAATTAAGTCAACAAATAATTTAATTTTATTATTTTGATTAAATTAATTTTGTTATCATACAACCTAAGAATTATTAATAGTATATAATGGATAGATGCAGTCCTCAGTTTCATAACTGCTGCCTGCTTTTCCTTTAATAGGTACTTCTTAATGTTTTTCTTTAAAAGTCTGCATGCTGAGTAGAGCAGAGTTTGATAAAATGGCTGCTTTAAAAGATGATCACTGTATTTGCATCATTTGTTATTTTTAAAGGAAAAAATAGTTCACTAAATAAGAATTTTTTGAAACAAAATTTAAATGGTCAGCATAAAACCCAAAATGCAAACAATTGAACAATTATGTTTTTTTCATTTGCTTTTCTTAAGGTGGGTTCAAATTATGAAATATCAAATTCTATCATATAGCATTCCTATTTCCTTTCTAACCTAGTGCTTAAGTTTCTTTAATGCTAAAACAAAGGAACACAACCAAGAACCTACTAAGACTTCCTTTCCCTTCAGCCAGTCTTCTTAAAAGAGCAATCTGCACCTTTGGGTTTCAGTTCCTCCCTTCTGGCTCGTTTCTCAGTGGATAACAACCTGGCTTTCCTTTGCACTTTCATTTCCAGTGATCTTATCAGTTCCTCCAGAAACTCTCCAGAGCTACCCCACATAGAGGTCTTCACATTTTTCCAGTTAGAAACCTTTGTAACTTATACAAACAAATTGACTATATCATATTGTAGTATAGTATTTTTACGTGTCTCTTTCCCAAGTAATGTGTGAGCCCTTGAAGGAAATATCTATGGCTTATCTATGTAATAGTTGCTCCCAACCTGTAGTTCATTACGTGTTCAACACATTTAGTTGAAAATTGTAATAGAGCGTTAACTTACGTGAAATGTTGTTTGGGACCTTCTGGCCATTGCACATAGCAAAGAGTACGGCCCGGCATGACTTTGGTTTTGGAGTAAAGACACTGAGGGAAGGCAAGTAGAAATGCTAGAATCCAAATGCCTCCAATGACAATCTTGGTTGCAGTGGCAGACAGTCTGGGCTTCAAGGGATCAATAATGGCCATATACCTATATAAAAACAAGCAAAACCATTTTGTTGGCTATCTTGTTAATGGAGTTTAAAATGAGTTTCAGAGGAGTTTCCGGGGCCAGGGTTATCTCTCTTCTGGTAAACAAACTGAAAAAGATTTTGCTTGTATAAAGGCAGCATAGAATAATTATGGCATAGTCTTAGGAATCAGGCAGATCAAGGTTCAAACCCTATCCTGTCACTTATTTAACTTTTTGAACTCCATTATTTTTAAAATAGAAATAAGAACCCCCCTCTCTTAGTGGTGAAGTAACGATCAATAGAAATAATGTAAGTGAAAGGTATTGATTATTTGCTGCTGTGCCTAACACATTATCAGAACTCATATGTCTGCTGGATGGAATTGGAAAGATGTGTATTAAGTGCTTAAAAATATGAATTCTGTACCCCAAGACCTCCATTTTTCTTATGTATGTTTAACTTTTTAAAAAGAAAATTCAAGACAACTAATATGGATAATGTCTACATGATTGACAAAATGAGGAATCCCTCATAAGGATATTGTCAACATGCCATTTAAAAGCATCCAGAGACGAGTTCAGGTTTAGATAAGGATGAATAAGTCAAGTTTGACTGAGACTATACTTTCCTATTACCTCTAAAATTGAATTCATACTGTATCATATAAATCTCCATAGTATTTATCTATGTAACTATATATAACATAATTGTTATAGGAAAATATATTTAAGGCTCTAAAATATTTACATATGATTTTTAGAGTGCAACTTTTTTTTTTTTTGCGGTACGCGGGCCTCTCACTGTTGGGGCCTCTCCCGTTGCGGAGCACAGGCTCCGGACGCGCAGGCTCAATGGCCATGGCTCACGGGCCCAGCTGCGGTGGGATCCTCCCGGACCGGGGCACGAACCCGTGTCCCCTGCATCGGCAGGCGGACTCTCAACCACTGCGCCACCAGGGAAGCCCTAAAGTGCAACTTTTTGAGAAATTAGAAACTGTTTGAATATGGTAACAGAAGTCAAGCTTTCTGCACTTGGTAAAATAGTAAGAATATGTCTGGGAGAATTAAATTCCAGATTTAAATTGGATAAAATGGCTAATTGCCAAATTATGGCTAATACTCAGAGTAGAAAATAACATACACCAAATGAATTATATTTTGGCATTTCTATCAATAAAACACATTCTTATTTAATTGTATTATTTTTACTATTGGCCATTTTGTGTTTCTCAAATATATTTTTATGTATGAAAATTTTTCAAAGGTAATATTTTTATCAAAGAATGAGTATTACTTAAACCAAAAACATTTAATCTTATGAATGTAACTATTTCAAAATAAGGGTAATTCATTAACTTGTTTACTGCTCTTTGCTTTTGTAACTATTAGGCAGAATTAGATCGTCAGTAGATATATTGGAACTTATCTACCTACTATTCATAACGTTAACTTTAGTTGTAATTTACTTAAAGAAAGTACTCTTAATTTATTATGTATGACAGCTATTAGGCAAAAGTGAATGTTAGATATGAAAAAAGTAATCATAAGATGGTACCTTGGTTTAGAGAAATAAAGTGAATCATACAAAGAAAATAAAATACACATGTTTGAAACTGAAAACTGTTTAAAATTCACCTCTCATGCTTATGTTGGTAAAGATAATAATAGCAACATATATTGATTGCTAAGCATGACTAGACAACTTATTGCACACAATATATATACATATATATACATTTAGTATCCAGAAAAATTCAATAAATCAACTAATATTATCTCTATTTTACAGAAAAGAAAACTGAGGCTTAAAGAGTAAGTAAAGTATTTAAAAATGTCCCAAATGGTAGGAATTGGAATTCTAAACCAGTCTGCCAATCCTGAAAGTCTACGTAGGTACAGATTATGGCTTTGAATATAACCACTCGTTTAAGGAATTGTGGGAGAGGAAGAAAAATATATAAGGTAGATGACTTGAAGAGAATCAGAAGTCGCATCTTGTCTCTAAATTCAAAAGCATTTATGTGCAATATTAAAGACGAAAGTCAAATATATAAAGGCAATAATTGTGATTGGTCATTTCTGTTCCCATTGCTATGGACTATAAATCACCATAGCATTTCTCTCATTACATTGAACTGTTGCTTTATGGTGTTTCCAGAGTCAGACACAGTACTTATCAATAAATTTTGTTGTACTGAACTGACTATTTCTCAATCTTATCATAATCTTTGCTTTTTCGCTTGCCTGGAAATTTATGAATGCTATTTGAATATTTAGACAGCTGATTTTTTGAGACTGTAATGAGAAGTTGAGTGATGTGAGCAGGTTTAGAGTCTTGTACAGCTACTACAGGATGGACAATTCAAAATAAACTACAAATTTCTTATTGACTTTTTTTGTCAATTAGTTTAATGTTAGAGAAATTATTTCCTGACAGGTAGAATATTGTTTTAGTTGGATTGTATGGAAACAGTCAATTTATGTTCTCACTAACTAACACTTTAGTGAAAGTAGACATTTTGAAACTTCAAGCTGACATTTTTGTCATTTCTAGTCTGATCTATTATTCATTCATTCAGCCAACATTTCTTGGATGTTTACTGTAGTATCCCAGATACTGTAGTAATACAACAATGAGAAAAAAATGACCTTCACAGAACTCACAGTCTAGTGAAGTAGATAGATACTAATCAAATAATCTCACCAATAAACATAAAGTTACAAATATAATAAGTGTTACAAAGGCAATGTTTATGGCTGTGTGAGTGCATTTACTGGGGAAAACATTTAGATTGTGAATCAGTCTTCCCTAAGAAAAGCATTCTGGGTTGAAACTTGAAAGGGTGACTAGGCAAGGTAGCAGAAGGGTGAGCATTGCAAAGATTTCTGGAGGAACAAACAACATGTGAAAAACTCCTGTGTTAATGGTGGGTTTTTGTGGGTTGAATTGTGTCCCCCTAAAAAAGGTACATTGAAGTCCTAACACCCAATATCACAGAAGGTGACCTTATGTGGAAATAGAGTTTTATATAGGTAATCAAGTTAAAATGAGGTCATTATGTTGGGCCCTAATTCAATATAATGTGTAAAGGAGAACTTTGGAAACAGAGAACCACACAGAGATTGCCACATGAAGATGGAGGATTGAGTGATGTATCTACAAGGCACAGAATGTCAAAGACTGCCAGCAATCCACGAGAAGTTAGGAAGGGGCAAGGCAGAATTTCCTCATAGGTTTCATGGCCCTTGCCAACACCTTGATTTCAGACTTCTAGCTTCTAGAAATGTGAGACATAAATTTCTGTTGTTACTCAGTTTGTGCTAGTTTGTTACAGTAGCCCTAGGAAACCAATTTGATGGGTAAGGGTGGGTGCATTGTGCACTTGAGGAACTAAGGGCTAATGTAATTGAAATGCTGAAAGTGAAGGGGGAAAGTGATTTGAAACGAAGTTGTAGTTCAGGTTATAGAATTTTGTCCTCTGGAAAGTAATTGAGGTGATTCAATCAGGAGGGGAGAGTAATCAGATTTTAGTCTGGAGAATGGATTGAAGGAGGGAAAGAATGGAAGGAAGAAGATAAGTTACCTCATTATTGTTTTGGTTTGGGTGAGAGATGATTGCTGCTTGGAATAGAGTATTACCACTGGAGATTGAATTACATTAACGATTGAGGAAAATAAAGAAATGTTGAAATATTGTAGAAAGGGAGAGCCAGTTGACCAAAGAGGTAGGTAGAACTTCCAGGCACTGCTGAAGACCAATTTGAAATTGGTGATTAGGAATTCACTGTGGCATCAACGTTTCCTATTCTGTGACTCTCTCCTGGAATAATAATTTTCTCAACAGTAAGCATGAAGAAAATGGATCCTTAGGGTCAAATAAATACCCTCTGGACCTTGAGAAGAAATTATCAAACCCAGGATACAATCTCTCTCAAATGAGTGTCAGTACTTTATTCTTCCTTTAAAGAAATGTATATCTTTGATATGATCACACTAGATTTTCCTAGGTGTTTGTCTGAGCTTCTCATTACCATTTTTCCCCACCAAATAGATTCTCAAATACGTTAGAGTCTCCTTACTCTGACTGTTTCACAAAGAATAGCTAAGATTGGATTCTTTACTCTTCCAATTAGCATAACACCTAAACAAGTTTTAAAGTCACTTTTTGTTGTCTTTCATAGAGGAAGAAATTCTCAGAAATATCCATCAGAAGCTTACATTATAATGCCATCTTTTATTAGTTTTCCTTTTCACTCTAATACAGGACCAATGTCCTTTACCATGTACTTCTTTTCCTGACATAATTGAAGGGATCTTTTTCATCAAAAAGATGATGTCTTTTGCAAAACAGAATTTTTTGACATAACTTTACTGCTCTCAGTAAGTAAGCCTTTCCATTTTGTAATTGTTCTTGGTATATGGTATATTTTTTCCTTTTGGTAGCATTTTTTATTAAGCTCTGTTTCTGGATCTTTACATGCTTATATACATTTAAAATTTTTGGTATAAAGAGAGAGTGCAGTCTCCAGATGTTTATTTGATTATATTAAGTAATATTTGCCTGAAATAATATAGATTTTACTGTTTTCCAGTTTGCTTCTGGCTACAGTAGACATTGCTTTAGTCTGTAAATTCAGGATCCTATAATCTGAAGTGAGGAGATGAAGCCCAAGGAAGGAGCACTTGGTAAGAGATATGTATACAGCTGGAGACTTAGCCAATTTGCAGCAATCCTGAAAGGCAAGAGTGGTAGATATATCCCAAAGGCACTCTCCTTCCCATCCTCTCCAGAGGTCTCCCATTAGAAAAAGCCAAGAAGAGACCCAAGAGTGAGGGACCCTATTGATACAGTCAGTCTACAGAAGTAGTCAGCCTGGTGGGCAGGGGCAGAAAAAAGAGTGGAATAGATAGTGAGTAGATATGAATTGAAAAATGGACATTATCCAGCTCAGATAATAATTTCATATTTTTCACATGCTAGTTTCCTTGCTGAAGTGATTTTTCTTTTGCTTCGTAT